TCTAAATCATTTCGATTTTGAATTCTCCACTTGTAGTGTATCTTTACAAATAAAAGCGATAGGTCACTCACTCATTCATTGCGAAATCTCAGAAACTTCTAAATACAAATTATAGTAGTTTTAGTATTTTTAACTAACATACAAGCTACTTTTTAAACCACGAAACGATTCCATATGGACCACGTGCGCTAAGTCGCTGATGGAAAGCTAGCAAAGAAATAAAAAACAAATAAATAGCGATACATAAACTTTCACAATATTGAATAGCAGTTGTATCCACCAAATCATTGTACAATATTATCATGAACGTACCTTCTTGCAAAACTAACACAGGTTCGAATTCTCCAATCTATAGAGTTTGTAAAAATTATAACCAATTAGTATGTGCCACGCTGATGTTGATATCATCGGTGAAGTTTAGGAGAGAACTGATGTTGACTGACCAAATGGATGTTATAGTATGTTGACATTTGCATTACAATAAATGTAAGCTGTTTTGTTTTGTTTAAATTATTTGTTTTTTTTTATTTGGCTATTTTTATTTGATTTGATTAATTTTGATTCTATTAATTTAATTTATTACAATTAATTTAGTTTTGGGATTTGTATGCGCAATAATATAAATAAGTGAATGTTGTGTATGTCTGTAATTGTCATATTGTAATTGTATCAGAAATTGTAATTGTTTAAATATTGTATTATAAAGGTTAAATATGTATGATGTTGATGTACCAAATTAAATAATAAAAATTATAATAAATAAAATCATGAACAATGATCGAATATTACAGTATACAACACAGTATAATACTCTCATCAAAGTGTCTTATATTTTTTTTTAGGTCAATATGGATATAACTATATTCTTTAACTGGCAAAAATAGCATTTGTTATGACATAGTGAGACTGTTACAGGTAATGTGTTTATTATAACTGTGTCGGTATTATACTAATAAAAAGATATCGATAAAAAAATCGGTGATAATAAGTTTCACCTGAGTCCACGAAAGCAATTTCGGAAAATTTCGAGTCATTATTATAATTTTGTTAAAACCATACCCGCCCGATTAAGACAATTATATCTTCGTATCATAAATAAACGAAAAATGCGTTTCTTTGGAGTCATATTAGCGTTTCGAAAATAGACGAAATTTCGTTTTCTGAGAAATAGAGTTTTTATAGGGTTTCAGTGAATAAATAAGTATTTAAAAAGCTAAGGCATATAGGTAGGCAAATTATCATAATAAGTACCTACAATATCTGCTCTTACTTCAATACTTCTAGTATAAGTTTGTCTTTTAAAAATATAGTATAGTTTTAGTTAATTGTATTTGGAGCAAAAATGTTACTTTACTTCAATGTGTAGAATAAAGTTGATAGCTTTAGTTTAAACTTTATGGTTCAAATTACTTAATAGAATATCCTTATTTTTTAATTGTAATTATTAATTATTGTTATGTTTTTATAATAAAAAGAAAAAGCTATATGCTGCTTGGACGCAATGAACCTCGTCTTATTACTAGCTTTAATAGTTTTCGAAAACTAACCGTCGACGCAATTTATTTCTATACCTTCACAGTAGCGCCTCTAACGGAAATTATAAATTAACTAATAGAATTCCGAAACTTTCAGTTAGACAGTAGTAATCTATCAATGAGATCGTTATGGTAATAAAATACCAAGAGAAATAGTATTGTCATATGTCGTCCGGCTCACGATATCTCTTCATCATGTTACCAAGAAACTAGTATCCGTTGAGACTGAGGAGAGGACCCTTGTCAATATAAATGGCAGATATCCAGTGACTCTGCCTATGGATTGATTACTTAATATGTATATACTTACAAATGGCGTTGGAGGTTCGTTGGATTAAATTGATAATAATAATAATGGTTTATTCAATATTTTTTACATTAGATTGTTTTAAGACCACCCTAATAAGTAAACTGACTAACAATCGTTAATCCTGTCATGTATTAATCTAAAACATTGTGTGCGCATGTACATACATTTGTATCATAATAAGTGTTTGTGTGTTAGCAAAGTTAAATCATAAATTAAAATTGTAATGTTAATTTAATTAATCTAAATATGATAATCGTTTCGATGTTACTGTGCCCTAAGACACTGAGGCAGAAAATTTGTATGGCACCCTTCCTTTATCCCTCGCCGGATTTTATATTGCCATATTTTTTCTTTCATTTTAGGGGTTTATATACCATTGAATGCTATTAAATTTAATGTGCTTTGTTAAACTCGTTATTTTTTAATTGTAAGCAAGTATTACTTTATTATGATTTTTGCGCCCCCTGACACTGGCAAGTGCGGGCAATTGCTCCGGGCGCCAGTGCCTTGTCCCGGGTTCATGTTATGGTGCTATATTTGTGTAGAAAATCTTATATTACCGTTACGTTACGTAATTGCAATACAGAATTGAATCGATTTTACAGTATGTTTCATAACATTTTTTAAATTATATCACTCGTACAATATTATAAATTTTGTAGCAGGAACCGAAATAAGATTGTTATCAATGTTCTCCATCTGTACGAATTAAGGTTTGTGTCACGATAATTCATTGTTTTTTCATGACTAAAAATGTAGAGTATTGTAAGAATACTATCATTCAAAACATCTTCATCACATCTATAGACAGGTTATTAAATTAAGTATTGTTCGTACTAGGAATTCACAACATAGTATATATTAATTTAAAATATTTGTGCTAATATATGCTATGTAAAATTTAAACACTTCAAACTAGTCAAGAGCCTATTTCAGTCCGTTATAGTATTTTTTATGTGAGCAACACTTTCTTTATAACATTATTAAAACTACGTCTTAAATTTCATCGTCCTTCGAGTAATACTTTTCGATATCAACTACTGCTAAAAATGCTATTCTATTTATTTTATAATTAATTGTACATAAAAGTTTCTCAGGTAACAAACATTTTTAGCAGCTTTTATACAACAAGCGAGCTTAACTCAAACATGAGTACTCTTTCAGCAAATCTTGTGTGATCGTGAGATGGTAATAAGGGTAAAATCAATTGAACTATCAAAACAAGAAGGAGAGAAAATAAATACGAGAAAAAAAAGGGATGAATTACTAATCTTTATTCATTATATCAAGTCCTATTAAAAGGAATTTTATACTTAAGGCATCTATTTTAAGAATTTTTACTACCTGTTTTTACAATATATGCCAAAGGAAAGATTATAAACAATTAGCTTTCGCCCACCATTTCGTTAGTCAAGACTTAAATCGTAAATCCTAGGTAAGCTTATAGCAGGATAAAATATCCTATTTCACTCTCAAGTCCTCCTTCGACTATCTCCATATAGAAATCCTCATTAATCCGTTTGTCTGATACGATCTGTGGGAAGAAGCAACAAACAAACTTCCACGTTTATAATATGTATATTGTAGTACCTATTAGATTGTAATAAATCGGTAGGTATATAGGAGAAGTTGGAACGCTTGTCTTTCTTGGTCGATGTTAGCTATATGAATTATCATTAATTGGGTAAGTACTAAAAGAAAAAAAAACGTAGTTTAGGTTGTTTAATTGATAAACTTTAAAACTACCGGTTTAGATTTTTTTTTACATTAATAGGTATTATTAGAATAAGGAATATTGCAATTGGTTCTCAAATTATCGTAGAAAGTTTATTATTGACAATTTACAATCAGGATTGTCTTGGTTTATTTCAAATTATGTTTAATTTATTTTAAAGATAAATTTCTGTATTCCATTTTAGGTATACTATTCCCATTTTTTACTTTCGCCTATGATATTTAAAAAAAGAGGAAGCGCAAAATTCACATGCCTAGTTAGTTAGATAATTTTGTATACTGTGATTTATGTGTCTTTTTAATTAACAGAGAAATTTCACTAGAATATTCAGACATTATTTTCGCTGAAGAAAAACCTTTTTTAACTTTTTAACATTATATTCTACAAAAAGAGAATAAACACTGTTTTCATTTTATTTCATTTAAAATGATGTCAAGTATACAAAAATATTTTCCACTGTTTTTGTTCAATTTTATTAGCTGATACATATTTTAATAAAAGCTAATTTGGATAATCAAAGTCCATGGTGAATTTTTAACATTTACGATTGTTTATGATTTCACGCTGGTGTAGTGTCCGCTTATATTGTCAATGATTAAACCATCAACAGCACATAATTTAATTAAATGACGTCATGGATAGTAATATATTATGTTGATGAACACATTTACATAGGAGAGCAACTATCACTTGTTGTTTGCTATGTGGAAAGTCATTAAACGTGTTCAAGCACATTAATAAACTAAGTGGACCAGTGGGCTAATGGTCAGTTGCACAAACGCGCATTAAGGTTTAATGAGGCATTCAAGCTCTAATGAAGGTCAAATTTGTAACGGTAATGTCGCTTTGAAGTAATGTAAATTTTAATGGATCTTTAGCAATCTCTTTCATAGGTATAGCAATTTTAATGATCAACAAACTTAGTTAAACTCGTCCAAAGATTGCAGCTAACATTCAGCTCTTTCGATCAACATCTCTTATTATAAGAAAAATTCTTGAATAATTGCAGTTATACGTTATAACTGCCATTGGCGGGAATCTAAATAACTAAGAAAACTAAATAGAGCTCATGATTTCAAAGTTTTGAAAATGGCGGATCGTGCGCTTCTCTATTATAATCGGAGAGTCGACCAATCAAATGCACCAGCCAATATTAATGTTGCCACTACTGATATCAAACTCGAATTATTTATATTGCTCCTAATTCTGAGCCCATGAGATAGAACTAACAGAATAGAATTAACAGTAATAAACTAAGGTTATTAACTGAAACTTGTGTGTTTAGGATTACTTAAGGCATTTAAAATCTTTAATATGACAAAAGCTTGATTGAAAAACCCATGTGTCTAGAATATTCAAATACAAAAATTGATGAGCAGTATTATTTGTAACCGCGGGTATCGCAACACAGTCTCATTTATCATTAATTATAATCTAGTATCAAATTAAAGACCAAGAGAGATAGTTCATATCTGTTAATATTTCAATCTATTTATATATTATAGTGTAAATATGTTAAACAGTTTGTGATTATTATGTTAATAATAGAAGTCTGTAGTAACTATGTGTGTTGACAACATTGTTAGTTTACATATATGCTACATATAGTGGAATGATATCAAAACAGTCGCCTGTTATCAACTTATCATTGTTTACATTGACGTCAAACGTATAAAATAAGATCTTGGGAAATAGGTTTCTTAAAAGTAACTCAGTGATCGAATAGTTCTATTCCGTGAGTGTATATTTGCATTTATAATGAGTTCTGTAGTGCGGACAGTGTTGGGAGACATCAGTCCAGAGGAGCTTGGTCGCACCTTGACCCATGAACATTTATCTATGGAATTTGAGCACTTCTACCGAAAACCACCATCAGAAATATCAGCCGTCGTCGATTTCAGAGAAATTACATTAAAAACGGTGGGTTATTTAAGACAATACCCTTACAGTTCTAAATATAATCTTGTTTTAAATGATGACAGTGCTCACAACGCCGTCTTAAACGATGTTATGATGTATAAACAATATGGAGGAGGCACAATAGTTGAAAACTCCACTGAAGGCCTCGAGAGAGATTTAAGCTTTTGCAGGCGTGTGTCGAAGATTTCGGGAGTTCATGTTGTAGCAGGAACTGGTTACTATATTGCTGATACACAACCGGCTAATCATCTCCATTATAGCAAAGAGGATATGTATAGTCATATGTATAAAGAATTAATGGAAGGGTGTGATATAGACAATGTCAATATTAAAACTGGTTTTATGGGAGAAATCGCCAGTGTTTGGCCTCTGAGGGACCTTGAAATCAAAGCTATTAAAGCAGCAGGAGAACTTCAAGAAACACTAAAGTGTGGAGTGAGTTTCCATCCACACCGCGTTACCGAAGCCCCCTTTGAGATCATTCGGCTTTATTTGGAAGCCGGTGGTGCAGCTGACAAAGCAGTCATGTCCCATCTTGATCGTACTCTTATGGAGGATGAAAAACTCCTCGAATTTTCTGAGCTTGGCACATATTGTCAATTCGATTTGTTTGGAGTTGAGGTTTCCTACTATCAGCTTAACGTGGAGACTGACATGCCTTCCGATGCTCAAAGAATTCAAAAGATCAAACTTTTAGTCGATGAAGGTAAAGAAGATAAAATTCTGATGTCTCATGACATTCACACAAAACACAGATTGATCGATTTTGGTGGCCATGGTTATTCGCACATCATCAATAATGTTTTACCAAAAATGAAGTCTAAGGGTTTCTCTCGTGCAACGATAGACAAAATAACTATTGCGAACCCTGCAAAATGGCTGACTATACCATTATAAATAGAAATGTAATATAACTATAAATAGAAATATATTTGAAATATATACATTTTAAACGTCGAATGAAGTAAGATCAAATATAATTTCATTACTTTTTTATTTTCTGACAGAGACTTTCATAAATTAAGTTGCAATAACTCAAGACTAACACTGACCTAGGTAATAGTGTCTTATATTATTCCAATAAATTATAACTTTATTTTAATTATAAAACATAAAAAAGTTGTAGAGTAACAAGAATGTATACATAATTAGATAAAAACGTGTGATTTATTTTCTATTTGATAACAAGAAATAAATATCTGAAGTAATTGTAATATTGTTTTACTCAAACTTTATCCAAGCGTGGTGTACAATTTTTAAGTTACTGAAAGCTATTATAAATGAAAAATGCTTAAAAATCCACTTTTGTTCCTGGTACTCTGAGATGGGATAGCATAGCATATTATTTATTTTAATATTGAATATCCTATTGTTTATAATTGTACATTTAATCTAATGTTTTAAATAATATGAAGTCAAGTGATTAATTATTATATTTCGGTGTCCTATGGGCATGAGCCGAATAAGTGAATTTGAATCAGTATAGAATTGTGATGAAAAATTGATCAATTATTTAAAGCTATTCCTCAATCTCCAAGCGATTATAACCGCATAAGCTATAAGGCCGTTATTTATTCTACTTGTTTTTATTTATTTTCCTTTGGTATTACAATAAAGATTATTATTAATAAGGTGGGATAAGTTATTAAACAGGGTGGCAAAACATTGGTAATTATATAACATTTCATAGGTTAGTGAGTTAAAATCGGACTCGATTTAATCTTTTGATGTAATCCGTGAGATTTCCTTTAATTCATGTTTAAATCATTGCATAAATAAGGGATTATTCTTGTCGTTGCGTTGACAGCGGAGAATACCTATAAGGCGATTTGCTTAAATAATAGGTAAAATTAAGTAGAAGCTGTTATATAATTTACTTTTTACCATTAACTGCTATGGAATTATAAACGAATGAGTGATCATCACCATTTTTAATGTTGTAGAGGTATACAACGCTTAAATAAATTCTAAAATAAAACCAAAGTTTTAAAATTTATAAAAAATTCAAATGACAAGTAAAATACATTTTCTTTCATTTGTAACGTTAACGAAACATTTAATAATTTGCTTATTCTCAATTTATACTTAAGTTTTAATAAAAATAACTTGTCCTGGCCGACACACCATCGCGAAGCGTAAACTGTTATTTGACTGTTCTCTTTGGTTAATTGAGTTTGTTGTAGAGACACGTACTAAGAAACGATTTTTGGAAACCCAAGGCCTAAAGTATCGAAATAGGGGTTAAAACTTTGTATACACATCCGGCAGTTATGAAGTTGGAAACATGAAACTTTATTTTAAGCTACTAACGCCCATTCGCATATATATGTAGAAGATATAATGAAATTACATAATTAATCAATTACGTTATCATCTTGTTAATAAATACGGCTCTACATAATGAATAATAATGTAACTTCTCGCATCATATAATTAAATATAGTCTGAAGTGTTTCGGCCGAAAAAGAATCAAAAAGAATTCTAACAATTTCTGTTTATTATATTTGTAATTATTTGATATATACTTACCTACTTCTCTATATGAAAACGTTTTGGATATTACTAAAGTAATACTTGAGTGCTCAGTAATGATGTTATGTTGGAATAATAATATATCATTAGTAACGATAATATTAATTGAATAAAGAAGATCTAAAGAATTCTTTTATATTAACTAAACCGGCTAAGCTTCACCCATTTCATGCTTCAGTGGATATATTTGAATAGTTCGCAAAAGTTTAGTAACATTGCAAAGTAATGTAGTTCTACCATGCCGACCTGGAAGTCTTAAAAAATAATATAAAACTACATTAAATACTGTATTGTAATACATTTACATTTACCCATTGAACATTAATTGTAAATAAATTTAATATTTATAGATAAATAGGAATTAGAACTAAGCAATGTAACGATTATATTAGTAAACATTATAATTTATGTCTAAACGCGCAATTATGTCGTTCATGTATATAAAAATTCATAGAGATATTAATAAATTTTGATAAAAAACTTAGGTACAAAACATTTTATATGAAAATCGTAATAATGTTCAGAATTGATGGTCGAATTTCAATCGCTATGATACTAGTATTAATTGTAAAAAAAGAAAACAAATATTTAAGACAAAAGTCAGAAAAATTACGGCAGTCCATTATTTTCCGGTGAGAGTCCATGTATTGAGAAGAAATTTCAACATTGTTAGTTAAAGATTTATTTTTACTGAATCGTAATATGAAATCATAATTATGATAGATTATGGGGAGACATCGACTATGTAGTCTTCAATTGTAAGTAGTTATTTGTTTAAAGTCACGAAAACATATTTTGCATATAAAATAGGGTTATAATATCGGTCCAAGCTCAATAATTCACTACTTACAATATTAAAATACGAGAAAAACAAATCTGTTCCATTCACAAAATAAAAACAGTAATGTATCTCGCTGAGCAAAGCCACCTGTTACTGATTCGGAGAAAAAATGTAGTGTAAAAAATCTGTTCAAAAATATTAAGGAATTAGATTTCTTTACAAAATAAGATCTGAATAGGTGGTAGACAGTAGAGTTATAAAATCGGACTAAACAAAGAGTTGTATTAATAATACCAATTAGAATAAAGTTTTTGAATTAACTTTTTGACAAGATGTTCTTGGTTAAAAGAAAAGGAACGAGACAATGAGTACCTTGATTTCTGTTAAACGTTTTTAGTGAAATTGTCGTAACGAATTTGTGTTAATAGGTAAGGTCGTCTTAATAACCGAATCGACAATGGTCAAATATAAAACCCAAAATTATTGAATGTTTAAGATATTTTAAATTCAGAAAACGGTCCATTCTTGAAGAAAAATATGTCCATTACAAAATATAACTTTAGTAATTGGAGAGTTTACATCTAAACTTTCCAATTTCCAATATTATAAAGGCAATTAGCGAACTCAATTTTCTTTGATGTCAGTACTAAAGTGGCTGCTATGAAGTTGGTAGTAAACTTGATCCCATCTTTATTTGGTTCGCATAATAATATGCGTATAGGACAGGAGATTTTTTTATCTACTTACTCGATAAAAAGTATATACCTAATTGAAGTTGGGTGGGTAAATATGACAAGAAAAAAAAATGTGTTTTAAATTTTCATGGTTATTAAGTTTAAAACCAATTACGGAAAGCCTTATTGTGGTAACCTGGTGTGCCTAAAAATATTTCCAGCCAAATCAAAAAATGCATTTTGAGCGTACGGTTCATAATATCGAGGATGAAGTATACTTATCACAAAACCTTTGGGTGTTTCAAGAAATTTTATTAAAACATTAGTTTATCGTGCTTTAAGAACATAAGGTTAGTTTGTACAATAAAAGATTTAAAAGATAAATTTAATGTTTTGGCGACCATTGAAACATTCTCTTTTACTCTAAATTAATAAGTCCCGGGCGATAAACCTTTTTGTTTTGTTGACATCACACTCAAGAAGAGTTACTACACCTACACAAACAGGGATGTAGCAGGTACAACGTAAAAATAAACATAAAAAGGGACGCAGTACATTTTAGTCGTAAAACAAATGTCAAATATTACTTACAAGTTCTTAGCTATTTTTCTGTAATTTTATCTATACTAATATTATGAAATGGTAATTTTTTTAACTAAACATGGAAATTCTTACATTTACGGGAAGCTACTACGTGGGTGACATAGGCTATAATAGAAAACAGCTGGTAAATTGTAACGAAGAACTCAACGACGTAGTCGTTAGCTGATTCAGTATGCTGTTGGGGAAGTTTAATGCATCTTTCATAAAGGCTGTTCATCGTATCGATAATTTAGTTTGTACCGGTTTATTTGTTACTTTTAAAGTAGTGATGTCTTTGGCAAACGGTTCATCGATGCCTCTACTGTGAAAAAAGGTATACTTCTTTATTCTTTAGTTATTTTTTTTAATCTGCACTGAAAGTATTCTTATTATTATTTTTTTAAATAAATAAACATGAATAACTGTAAACAAAACATAAGACGCTACCGAAACCACTGCCATTCCCCAGAGTCGGAACGTTCGTCGCTAATTAAAAATTTGTTTATCAAATTTGGCGACGCTATTTGTAGTGCCGTAGCGTGTACCTATTTAGCTTAAACTACCCCCGTCACTGTTTAAAAGGTATTTTAAGGCACTGGTGTCTGTTTTATCTGAAATAATTAACATTCACTTATTATGGCTATTGCAGTAAAGTCATGACAGACTTCGATTGATTTATTCCTATATTCCTATACTGGCCACTATAGTGGAAGTGGAATGATGGTTATAAAATAAAATCGAAACTTACTTACTAACTTTTATTCAACAGTTTTTTTTTAATATCTATTTTTCTATATCGACTATATCTCAGTAAAACTTCCAGTAAATATCGTTTAATACCATAGTTTTTATAATGGACGGTCGGATAGAGTCCTTGTTTAGTTTTACTACCCTGAAATCAATGAATGTATTTTTATAATATACTTCTAAGAACACCAACAATGTTGTTTAGAATGGCAAGCTCATGACTTATTTTCAGTGAGTAACGAATAATGTTATTTTTTCCGTTAGTGGTTAAGTACCTGAACCGGGTCCTGTTATCTAATAGTTTTGTTTGAAACTTTCCTCCTTATAATTTAAAAAGAGCGAACTCGTAAAGTATACGGACTATGAACTTTAACATTTTTAAATAAGAATATCAGTTACACGTTTTCTTTTAATAACGAGTCTTGTTTGTGTGAACGAACAACGTTCATATTATTTTTTTACATTTTAAAAAGATTCTTTATGTAAATTTACGTGGAATTTCAAAGAAGTCACCAAAAAGATTTCTATCATTTGATATTCGTTCTAACGGCGGAGGAGTTCTCGCATTTTAGTTTAAAAAAATCTTAACTGTAGCTATATTTAATACAAGCTTGACAAACTTCTATAAAACTTTCATCCCCTATTTCAACCACCTTTTTCGCGATATATTAATGTCCTTTTCTAAAATCAATTCTATAT